AAAAACAAAAAAAAAAAAAAAAAAAAAAAAAAAAAGACTTGCCTTGGTCATGGTGTCTGTTCACAGCAGTAAAACCCTAAGACACTGACTGAACTATTTACTTATCTCATTGTGTTCATCTCACAGACTGTAAAACCAAGGCCCAGGGAAGCTAGGCAGGTCACCACGGGTTTACAGGTAAGAAGTGGCTGGATATAATTTGAACCCAAAGTTGGCTGCCTCTTAGAATGGGCAAATCTAATTCTAATTCCTCATGTCCTACTGAGCAGTGAGGTTGGGTTAAGGCAAAGGGAAAAGGTTACCGTGGAAGTCAAAATCCATACAGTGACATTTTGAGATTTGAGTGTCAGATCGGGTCTACCATGAGGCACCACTATTGACTGCCTAAGCTGTGACCACTACATATTTGCTCACCCATGCTCTCCAGATTCTTAGGTTCTATGTCTTGACTCCCTCATTGTCCTCTGTGTGGGATTCTGCAATCTCATTTCCTTTGGGCTGTATTCTGCTTCCTAGTCTAGTCAATATCCTACCACTAGGGTGCTGTGGACACTCCAGGGGTTGGGACCAGGTACTCTTAGGCCTAAGAATTCCTCCGTCTTTCATCTCTCTTTCCTTGCTCTCTTATTACTCCAATGTCCTTTGACATCTTCACCCTGTCTCCTAACCCAATGTCTTTTTTGTTTCTCCCAGCATTTCTCCTTACAGACAGCTTACTGCCTCTCCCAGTCACCTGGATGTCTACCCGGACTCTTCTCTAGTGCAGATCCCAAAATCATGAATGGCAAACACCCTATCCTCTGACTTCTAAATCTAACTTTTTTCTATCTTTTATCTTTGCTGTATGTATGTATGTATGTATGTATGTATGTATGTATGTATGTATGTATGTGTTTTTAGGTACATTATGTGTGCATATGGAGGTCAGAGTTCATCCTCAGGAATTGTTCCTCAGGAGCCATATATTTTTTCTTTTAGACTTAAATTTTAAAAATTACTTATTAGTTATATAAAAAATGAATCCTAGACTTAACTCTTGCTTTTAATTTTTTCCCTGGAGTAGTGGCAGATGTCTTTAATATCAGCACTCAGGAAGCAGAGGTAGGTGGGTCTTTATGAGTTCTAGGCCAACTTGGCCTACATGAGTTCCAGGACAGTGAGAGCTACACAGTGAGACCCTATTTGTGTGTGTGTATGTCTCAGGATCCTTCTGACTCTGGTCCTCAAAGCTATGATTACAAGTATGTGCCATCGTGTCTATGTTTCTGTATAGGCATTGGGGATCAAACTCATGTCCTCATTCTCCTTTCTCAAGCATGTGTTATAGACCAAACCATCTCCCCAGCACTTTTCCCACTTTGTTCCTAGGTTCCCCGTGATCAGCCAGGTTTATAGCATCTCTCTCACCTTTTGCACCTTTATTCCCTAAACCTGAATCTAGGATATAATGTAATCTAGGCTGTGTGTGTATGTATGTATGTGTGTATAGATCAGGATCACACACACACACACACACACACACACACACACACACACACACACACACACACACCATGAGCCAGGAGCTATGAGCCAGGAGCTAGTTCTTTCCTTCCACCTTAGGTTTTGGAAATTGTTAAGCTTGTGAGGTATGCACTTTTACTCATTGAGCCACCTGACCGATGCCCAGATTTTTTTTTTTTTTTTTTTTTTTT